CCAGCGCTGAACCGCCGCGTAGCGGGGGGTCAGCGCTGGTCAAGTATATTTTCCCTTGATTTGCCCTTATAAAGTATACAGGGTGGACAAAAAAAAAGATCCGAGTTTGGGGCAGAATAACTCGCGAACGGTAGAGAATCGAAGGTGTGTTACCATGCCAGAATGCTTAAATATGCTGGGTATGAAGATTTAACACAACTTGATTTTTTCGATTTTTGGCGACGTATCAATACAAATGACACCCGAAAACTGTGCGTTCCGGCAAAACTTCGATTGCATTTTTTGGGATTGCTGGTGGTCGAATGCTTCCAGTTTTTACAGTGTGGGTACCTAAGGACTGCCCCTACGCACATCCGGAATTTTGGAATTTTCGAAGGTCTGGTTGGCAAGTGATAGCGTGCTCAAATTTAATATGGAGAAATTTCTTAAATTTCGAATATTACAAAAACCTATGGTGGAAACCTCAAAATAATCTGTTTTAACATGTCTATGGACTCGATACAATCCCACAAATATATCAAAAAAAAATTTCAAATCCGCGGATTTTTGAGTTTTTCGACGACATGACTCTGGACATGGGTTTTTTGAGGTCACGAAACGGAACTTTGGAAAAATATTTCTAAAATTGCAGATAGAATTTCGGTGTTTGCTTTGCTTCGTTGTGTAGGACTGGGGTCCATCTATCATGTACACAATTTCTAGCTACCGTACCCCTTTGGAAGGTTGCTTTTTAGCGCCTCCAAAACGGTTGGTTCGTGCTATTTCGCAGACCTTCGTGTCAGTCTATAAAATTCAATTGCGCGGCTAGAATTATTGTCATAATTTTATTTAATACTGCTTAATGGGCGCATTCTAAAATTATATTTACAAATTTGTTGGGCCATCCGATCTTTCAAAAGAAATTCATCAAAAGTCCGAATATACCCGAATTCGAGGCGACGTAAAAAAATTCTCGAGGCCATAGTAGCCCCGACTTTTCTGGCATAGATCAAGCTTGGATAGTCAACTAAAACCCATGCAAATACAAAAGCTTGTCATGGCAAACGAATTTAGAAGAGCTCCCCAAAGTCGGCTTTTCAAAAACGTTAGTTTTGGATCTTAAATCAGAATTAACCATTAACTTCAGCCAGATCATTCCAGAATTCTGCTTTTATACACTGTTCGATGCGTGTTTGAATTATATCCACGAAAATCCGATGACTTTTTCATTTTCAAAAATTCGATTTTCGGCCCGGGGCCTCGGGTCCAAAATCGGGCCCGAGGAGGGTTTTTCTCTTTCCCTCATAACTTTGTCATTTACCACAGAAAGTAAGTCATTTTTTGCCTGCGTACTCATAATCACCCAGGGAACATACTAAAGTTGAAAAATTGGCACTTTATGGAATTTTGTCTTGGATGCTAAAACGCGCTCCAGGCGGGGTTACTGTAGAAAACAGAAATCGCCGTTTTCTCGTCCTTTTCACCATAGAAACGTTTCGATCTTTCAGGGAAAACAAATAACAGTAGTTTTTAGTCCGATGCATCAAAATTTTAGAAATTTCCGTGGCTAAATTCAAAATAAGTTTTTGCATATTTTGGGAAGGTGTATGGCTAGAACTTCGCGATATTTAGCCGATAGGTGAATCTTATTGGTGTTTACCAATGATAAAATTTTAAGCGAAATCGCAGCTTACAATAAAAAGAAAAACGCGGAAAACGAAAACTACAGTATCCCTCTGGGGCACGTTTTAGCAAGCAATATTAAAATACCATAGAATCAGGTAAAATTTGGTGTTGTGCTAAAGATTATCATTCGGCGACACCATCTGCAAACAATCAGCCATGGGCAGCGTATTTGAAGAGAGTTGCGAATTAAAATGTCAAAAGATACAAAATAGTGAAATTTGTTTTGCTTGTAAAAAAAGAACTGGAGCTTAAAAAATTCTAAGACTTTGCTATTATTTTTCTACAAATGTCAACTATTTATAGGAGAAAACTCAGAATTTTCCCACCACCCGTTCAAGAACGCACAATTTTCGGTCGTAACCAGCGTCAATAGTACAGTTTCGTACCCAAAAATCGAAAAAATCAAGTTGTGTTAAATCTTCATACCCAGCATATTTAAGCATTCTGGCATGGTAACGTACCTTCGATTCTCAAAGATAAGCGAGATATTTTGACCCAAACTCGGATCTTTTTTTTTTGTCCACCCTGTATTTTCCCTTGCTTTGCCCTTATTCCCTTTTACTTTAGTTTTTGCTCGAAACCTTATTGAGAGAGCTAGTGAGAAAGATAGAGACAAAGATAGAGATAGAGATAGACATAGAGAGAGCGCGAGAGCGAGAGGGAGAGAGAGACAGACAGAGGTCGAGAGAAAGAGAGTCTTTCATTTGTCATTACGCAATATATTGTTATCTATTTATTCATTCCCAATTCTTATTTATTAAGGTATATTCGCTCATAAATCAATCGAAACGGGCACTTTAAAGGGACGTGCAAAGCATTGACTCTGCACCGTATTTTATTTGATTTTTCCACCAAATTTGAGCCGGTTAGGACTCCGTGACCTCACAACCTCTACTTGTGAGCAGGGACGTAGCGTAATACCGGCCCCGGGGGCCCGGGGCCCCCCCGAAATCGGCCGGGGCCCGAAAATTTCATAAGGGGGGACCCTTATGATTTTTATTTTCTCAAAAATTTTGCTGCCTGCGGCGCTATTTTTTAACGTTTTTACTTCGATTTGTAGAGCTATTTGACGTTTTTTCAAAAATTTTTGCCTGCGGCGCGGGTTTCTCGTTAATGGTTTGAGTTTTTTGGAAAAATTTTTTGGGGGCCCCCCCCCGAAATTTTTTTCTGGCTACGCCCCTGCTTGTGAGTGATTTTTTTGCTTTCCTTTGTGATGACGAATCGGTAGATAATCAAGGAAATCACATCTACCATCTATTTTACTATTACCTCGTTCACAAATTCTTATTGCGATTTCATTTCAAAGGGCATGGCGCGCGTTTTCATGGCGTAATCGGCAAGCCCGTTGCCTTCTGGTCTTTAAAAAAAGACCCTAGATCACCCAATCTCTATCCTGCTTTTTGTTGCTGTACGCCGTTTGAGTGCATGCAAGCCATGTGTTCCCCTAGATCGAAAAAGCCCTCCTGTGACATGTGTGTGTGGCCGAGACGAATTTATAAAGGGGCCAAACACATGGAGAGACACACCGACATACACGACAAATCACTGAAAGAAGGAGAAAGAGAGACAGCGAGAGAGAGAGAGAGTGCGAGAGAGAGAGAGAGAGCAAGAGCAAGGAGCACGAGCTTTTGTGCTGATCTTCCTCCTTTTACTGCCACCTTTTCCATACGGAAAAGAGGGTCCCCATTGCAAACGAGAAGCATCTGTTGTTTCGTGTCCAACTTTTATTGCTGCGCCGCCTAGTAGTCAGCTTAAACCTTGCTAGGGTGTACTAGAAGGTCTAGAGACTTGTAATATAGTCTCATTCTCATAACTATACTTTTTAGGGTTTGTTTTGCATTTTTGCGTAAAGCTCTTGCTCCATTCTCTCACTCCTCGCTCTCTCTCACTCTATCGTTCTCACACTTTATCGCTCTCTCTCTCTCGCTCTCTCTTGCTCCCTCTCTCTCCCTCTCTCCCTCTCTCTCTCCCTCTCTCTCCCTCTCTCCCTGCCTCTCCCTCTCTCACTCTCACCCTTCCATTAGGGCTTGCAACCTGACAAAAATGTCGTTTCTCTCATTTGCATTTCCCTGCAAGACCCAATCGCGCTGCCTAATTTTAAGTTGATTTTCAGGAGCCGTGAGAGAAACAGCCGAGAACCCCGGTCGACCCGGGCGGCGTGTCGTACATGAATGGGCGCATATTTATTCTCGGCTTTTCGCTATTTGTAAGCCGCCAGGTAGACGCGATCGAGCACGACCCTACTCCGACAGGTAAGATAAAATTCGTTGGAAGCCAGGTACGGGTAGCAAGTGGAACTTCTAAAACCGGTACTGAAATCAAAATCCGACGTGCGACAATACCAATAAAATCAGGCAACCTTAGGGATTGGTGGAAGCGATGAACAGCTGGGAGCTGATACTGGAATTTTTCAGATCATCTCCAACTCCTAGCTCCTTACACCCAGATCCGGTGTAAGGAGCTAGGAGTTGGAGATGATCTGAAAAATTGCTGGTGCTTTGACAGATAGCCGAATTCTCGCGATTTTCAGAACTTGACCTGCTCGACTGGTCGGGCGGTATTCGCGTCGCGTTCTGCACGGAAGCCCCACTCCCCGATGTCATCTCCCCCTTCAGAAGGGCCATGGCCAAGGTGGCCACCAAGTACTGTCAGAATACCACGGCGTGTAATCTCAAGAAACAGTACGTTACTTTCCAACTTACGGATGCCGCCATGCACCGAAACTATCGATCTTCTGAACGGCGTTCTTCTAGGGTAATCTTCCATCCCGAGTCTGTGTTGATGATCGAAAACTTTCCACGTCGAGAATTCGGGGAGTTGCTGCTCAAATTTTTGATCGTTCTGCCCCATAGTTCAATATTTGATTTGAAGCAGCAGAGACCATTATTGCCGAGGCCGGTAATCGCTGGTAGGTTTTCCGAAAGTTTAAAAACACGCTGAATTGATTACGCTGGACAATAAGTACATTTCTATATAAATTACGGTATACAATTTTCTATACTTAACAACCAGGTTTTCAATCTGTTACGCCATTTAATTCAAGGCATATTTTCTAGATATGCTCTCGAAACACCGAGGGGAATTGGCGAGCCGGCTGGGGTGGAATATTTTATCGTATGAAAGGTAATTTAGACTTTCTAATATTGCCTTGCCCCTCAGCAAAAATTTATATTTAAAATTAGAGTTAAAAAAACCCGTAATTTTATTAGTTTAAACAGCTTGCAAGAATTTTAGACCTGAAAAAAGTTGGGCTTTTCAGATACCCCCGTTTCGACCCGATGACCGAATTCATGAACATTGCCATCATTCCAATTATCATCTTCTCCATTCCGCTTATGATCTTTTTAGCTTATTGGACATCCACGTTACGGTAGGAACTTTATGTTTTAGCGAAGCTACTGGCAATTTTAGACCAAATATGGGCAGCGAGTCGTGGCTGGTCACCGGCTCTTCAGGAGGCAAAAACGCGGCGTTACGGTAGGTATAATATCACTTCGTAAATTGACCACACTGTCTGAAATACCTTCCTATTAGTGCCCCTTGAAGGCTGATTGGGTTTAAGGTAGAATTTAAGGTTTAAGCTGCAAAAAAAACGTCCAATTAAGCTGATTAGAAGTATCTTTTTTTAGGCCAATTTTTGAGGATTGGATTCGGTTTTGGAGACGTTAATACGCTAATATACCCCAATTTGTATCCCCAGGAACGAACCTGAGCCCGCTAATAGTTTTGGCGGATGATGAGCGCTGTCTAAAGCCTGTCCAAAAAGCCGCAAACACCCCCCGCGATCAATCACAATCATTGTGGGCACTAGCAGCTGAGGGGGGAGCTCCACCTAAAAAAAAAGAGGACGTCCCGGGCACGGAGAAGGCTAAAAATTGATCCAGGGATTGTCGGGTAGGGCTATGGAAGAGGATCGCGTAAGATTAAAAAATACAATTATCATGTTGGATAAAAACACGCCTGGCAGGTTTTCCTTTTACTTTTGGACTTTGCAATCCTTTGTCTTTATCTTTGTTTAAAAAATCTTTTTGAATCATGTGGTTTAAGCGCCATCGGAATAACTTGAAAATACGCGAATTGAAAAAGTGTCGAGAAAAATTCTTGTAGTTGGTTTTCCCACGAAATTTTATACCAAAGAGGTAGCCATATCGCATTCATTCCGTCATTTGTCAAACGGACTTGTTTTATGAAAGAATAGATGTTTTCAACTTTTTAAAACGTGGTGATTTCCCATGGCCATGCTCATTCAGCAAAACGCGAATTTTAGAGATTTTACGTAAAGATTTCTAGCAAGTTTGAGGCCTATTTTCAGACGCACGATGGAAATAATCGCCGAGCAAAACGAGGAGATTCGCCGCCAGGAAATGGCCGACCGACTCCGCGATTTGCGAATTACCGGCGCGCACGAGGGGCTGAGCGGCCCCGCACAACTTCTGCTCAACGTCGCTAGGTAGTGGAACGGAATTTTGAACAGATTTAATAGAGTAGAACCAAAGGTCAAAAATCAGATTACCTAGTCATTAAACCTTTTCAGCCAAAACCCGGCAATGTGTTAGCGCCACTATTTTAAAGGGACACCCAGACGCATAGCTAACTGTCTGTCAGAGCTAATTCCAGGCTGTCCATCGCCTCTTCGTCGTATTCTCCACATGGGTCGCTACAAACCCGCCAGCATCATGGCCCGCCACCTCCAGTGATCATATCTCCATCTGCGCAGTCGAGAAGATCATCAGCTGCCTCGGCTGGCACGGTATATTTTTCCGAATTTTTCTCCCACTCGATCTCGTGCTCGCTCTCTCTCACGCTCTCTTTCTCTTTCTCTCTATCCCTCTCTCTCTTAACTCACTGTCATTTAGCGCTGTCCATCCCCTCCAAGTCAAGTTGGGAGCGCCAGCTTGCTGCAGCTGAGAGATTCACATCCGCACTTCAAGGGGTAAGTCTTGATGCCAATTTTATATCATGTATCGAACGATACCGACTAACAGTATACAAAACGATGAGACGGTGATATCCTACAACCCTTATTCTTCTTTCTTAGCAAAAAAGAACGCCGCAGCTCGCGACGCCAATCTTCCATCGAGGGCATGGCGATCAAGGGCCGGAGAAGAGGTAATTTAAAATCAAGTTTGTCTAGAGTTTTAAATTACCTAAAAATTATAATTCGAAACAAAACTGGATTTCTAAATTTTTCAAATGCACAATCGTAATTTTTAGACACCTGAATTTAAAGCTTTAATTTTTAGTCCATGTTAAAGCTTCAGTTTTTCAAGATTTAATCAAGAAATTCTCTGTTTTAAAGTATACTTAAAAGGCTTACTAGGCTTAACAATATTTTTTAAAGTATCCGGCGTTCTTATCATTGTCCGGTTTAGTTAAAAATCCCTCTTTTTACAAGTTATCACTCTGTTGCTATACCGCATAAAGCATGCCACTTTTTGTACAAATAATTCCTCTGATTTCTGAGTCCACCCTTCCAGGCATAATTCCATTACTGTACGCTTTACGCACCCATTACCACGTGGCGAGGGTGTGAAGGCAATTTTCGCCAGATGATCATATTTCCGCCAAGGTACCTTGCTACTATTCGTCATCAAATATCCCACTTTTTCGATCCGCGTTTTGCGGTAGCGAAAATCAGATTTTCGCCCGAGTCAGACTCCCTTACCCTCATTCAGCCTCAACAAGTAGCACATCATTTATTTCATAGGATCATTGAGGAAATTTGGGCCCAATAAGGGCACACGGGGGAGTATATCGGGCTGTCTTGTGATGCCCCGACGGAATCGGGTTATTTTGGGGCGGTGTAGGCGCGCGTGAGCGTGATGCAGAAAAAATAAGAAGGGTACCAAACCATGGAAGGACAAGAAATGCAACTTTTTCGCATCAGTATTTTTATGGAATTTTAGCCTAAAAACTTGGGTATAGATCACCTTCAATGTGGACTAGAAGCTCCCAAACTGTTTATAAGCATAATTAGATAGAAAACTGCACGCGTGAGTAGTCAATAGATTTGAAAAGTGACGTGGCAGTTGAACTGTGACTATATAAAATTCAGACGCTACTAATAGCGCTCGTAAACACGCTGCGTTCGCGCCGAATTGGGTTTGATTGAGAGAGAGAGAGAGAGAGCGAGAGGGAGCGAGAGAGAATGAGTGAGAAAGATGGGTATGGTTTTTTCACGTCGTTCACCTCTTGGCCTCAATCGCGTCACGTCTGGCGCTACGTCTCGCGCCACTTGTCGCGGAGGCGCTACAATCTACGATGTCCATAGGCTTGCTTTCTCAATCCCCTTAGCCTCGATTAGTCCTGCCAATATCACTCCCCAAACGCTACTGATCTCCGAGCTGTTCCCACCCTTCCAAAATTGTTGCGTTCCACCCTCCCTCCACCTCCAATTTCCCGCAAATGATGTGCGGCTCGAAAATGGAGCTCAGGAAATGGCGGGAAATCAACGGGAATCCCCGAAAAAAAAGGTGTCGCCCTTTTGCCCCCTTTTCCAGAAATTGTTTGCCATGGGCTGGAAAATGAATTCTTTTTTTGTTCAAGCCGTAACGGGATGGAAACCGAAGATTCTACCCGCTCGAGTAAATATTGTGGGTGGAGGGGGGAGTGGATTTCTTTAAAAACCGGGGGCAAAAGGCCCTCGGCAGCGCCCATTGTTTGCCAAATGTGTAGGTGGACGGTGGAGTGTGCCGTAATGGGTACAGTGATGTGATAATTTGGAAGGGGAAGTTGTGTTAGAGGTCGGGTGGGAGTACTTGAAGCAGCAAATGACGCTATTGGTCGAAGAACGATATTCAAGGCTTCTAGCCTTGGGTTGGGGTCGTTTAAAGGTACTAGGAAGGGAGCATATCCATCTCTGGACCATGAAATAATTCAACAAAAATAAAAATAATAAAACTTAAATCGATCTGTTCATAGAATTTTATTGCGTAACCGGTTGATCTTGCAAAATTGAGCATTAGGCCATAGAGCGAGGAAGCGAGATCGAGAGCGATAGCCGGAGAGAGAGAGCCATAGAGAGAGAGAAAGAGAGCCAGAGAGAGATAAAGAGAGCCAGAGAGAGATACAGAGAGAGAGAGAGAGAGAGAGAGAGAGTGAGTGGGTTGAGAGAGAACATTTAAGACGTTCAATAAATAGGCAAGCCAGCAGAGATTACCATAAATGGCTGGAAAACTGCTTTTTTCAGGCCTCTCGATCTCCTCGGCCCCAGCCCAACGCTGGAAAACCGGTTCCCTAATCCTCAGCCGAGGCTTCAGGAAGTAACATATGATGTTTTTTCGAGTTCCGATTAAGTTTTGACTAATTAAAACTTGGCTGTCGAATTTTGTTTTATTTTGAAGCGTGTTTCCTCTCTCCCATCCTCTCCCGATTCTTTCCGCCACAGGGTCTGCTGTCCAAAAAATGAGCTTTTCGTATTATTATTTCCTTGGTTTTGTTTCATTTTCCTGATATTTCCTGACCATTCACACAATTCTTTAAACATTTTTTGCCACAATTTGTATAACCATTCATTTAAGTTAATTTCCAATTTTCTTTAAATCCTCGTTTTCCGCTCTTCAAAGTTGTTGAATAAAGATGATATTTCTCCTGTATTTATGTTGGAAGTTTTTGAAGTGCTTTTAGGGTTTGAAGTGCAATGGAGTGATGGTGTGTACTACTTTTACGTTGTTCCATTCCACAAATGGTGGTTTTAAAAATTGGAATTAGTTTATTCTTTAGTTTTGGAAAACGTGAGATCGTTGGGGCGTTTTTTGTAAAATCAGCCAATCTCTGCTTGGCTATTGGAGCTAACTTTATCTGGTTCTCCACTTTCGCTTTTTGGAACGTTCTACCTGGTGCTAATAGAAATTACATAAGGAGGCGTCCATCTTACTATTAGCAGAACGTCCCAGAAGGACAAGCTCTCTGCTGATGTTCGTCTCATTAGGGAAATTTGGCCAGCGCAGGACCTCCCGCTCGCGTTTTTGCCCCGCCCGAAAATGATCTCCGGCCCGGAGATAGGAAAAGAGATTCGGTGCTAAAATGCACATATGTAGTACACGTTATTAATAGCTTAAATATATTATAACTTATTTATAATCCCAAAAAACTTAAACGTTGCAGTTTTTATTTTGCATACTTTATTATTCGCCGAACTTTAGGTTTCAAAATTGAAAAATTTCAAAGCTTACCAGAAAACATGCAGAATTTGGCAACTGGTTTTATCACACAAAAAAGCAGGCTTAAATAAACAAGCTAGCAGATAACCTTAGGAATTTGGGTTTAAAAAACTCGAAATAGGTTCTTTGAAAGAAAGAATTTCACTTCTTTCTTTCAAAAGAACTTCTTTCTCGTGCGTTTAGCCACTTAATGCATCAGTTTTTACAACTCCGCCCTTTATGTTTTTATCATACTTACTAAATACCCCTGCATTCTAACAAGGAGTGCTTTTTTTGGGTCATCGGCAAAACCTTACGAGACCTAGCTCATTCGATAGAGAATTCGATTCTGAACAAAACCCCGTTGTTCTTTTTTGCAGAATGGCTACACCTGATTTTATAAAATTTTGAAACTGCACCCAAAAGCCTCTCTTTTGGCTCGAAAGGCACTCATGGTAAGAGACGGTCACTAGTATTTTAATTTTATAAAATCAGGGATAGCCATTCTGCAAACAAGAACAACGGGGTTTTGTTCAGAATTGAATTCTCTATCGAATGAGCTAGGTCTCGTAAGGTTTTGCGGATGACTCAAAAAAAGCACTCCTTGTAAGAAAAATAGGTGTTTCTCCTTGGGGCGCGGGTTAATTAGGCGGTGGCAGGCCATTCCAGAATTAGTAGTCGTCAGAGGAGCACGGGCCGCTTTAAGAAACTCTTTCAGCAAGGCCGACAAAATAGAATTAAGCCCAGGAGGAACTTTTTTAATTGGTGCTGCGTAGTTCGGGACCCAAAGCGTATTATAGGGGTCCTAAAGGCCAACGAAACGGGAGAATCGACCTCTGACCATACCTGGTTCTCGACAGATGTTTTTCTCGCAGATGATGCTGCTAATTTGGGATAGAAATTAATGCTATTTAACGCTATAGACCCAATTTTGTCACAAGACAGTCAAAAATCCAGGCGTACTTTGGACTATCGCGTAGCTGTCAACACCCCGCCGTCAGCGGGGTCGATTATAAGGTTTCGGGTTCCCTTTGATACGCTAGAAAATTTGGAAAATGAATTACTGTAGGTACTGGTACAAAAGTATTAAGTTAAGAACTAATAATAACTTAATAAGAACAGCTGGAATCGAAATTATAAATAGCGGTCTCAAAATGCCGTGAAATTAAGGAATTCGACTTATTTCGGGTTTCTTATTTCGACTTACTTTCTAACCTTATTTAGCTTTCAAATGCAACTTCTGCGACGTCAACGTGGACTTTTGAGGCTACCGAATCGGAAAATTAGACGTGTATCGTCACTCCGGAAGGAAAGAAAACGAGAGGAATCTCAACACGAAGACCAAGAGTCCGGGTGAGTACGTTTTACGTATCTTTCATTCAATTTTCATGTGGGGGCAGCCATGGATTTGATGTGAATGTGGACGCGCCGCAAAAAACGTACACGTCCGCGGCCCGCCACGTATCACGCATCGCATAGTTTATTGCGTTGCGTATCGCGTTGCTAATTACTCTAGATGCTGCGTAGCGTTGGTATTGGTTCGTTGCGTATGGCTTCGCGTGTCGCATTACGTATGCAGTTTATATCAGGCTGTCCGGAAAGTCCTTGCGGTTTTTCCTTTCGGGCATTTTTTTGAAAGCCCTGTTGATCTAGGAGCTAGACGTAATCTACGATTTGGAAGTACTTTTGATGCTCTACACAGTGGTAAAGCTGATCTTGTCTAAAAACAATTTTATGATTTTTAACAGGGTTTGAAAGTTGGGACCAAAATCAACCGATTTTTTTGTCTTTGTTAAAAACTCCCCCCAAAGAGCGGTTGGAAAACTTTTTGAAACTAGCAATCGGCTCAGCTCATCAAGCGCTACAAAACGTATCGTAAAAGTTTTGTTTGAAAAAACAACTTGTCAAAATTTCTTTGACCTCGAGATGCTGACTTTCTCGAATGTACTAATATATAGCTGTGTCCACTCCGGTAGAGCTGAAAAGAGTATTAGTTTCAGTTTCAGGTTATATTAAAGCTATTTAGACGCTTCTAAGATCGTTTGATGATTTATTCGAGTGACGTGCCTCTTTAGTCGACCAAAAACCCCCATCACCTGATCAAATTTTGACAAGTTGTATCTCCCCAGAGTAATTTTTCAAACAAAACTTTTACGATACGTTTTGTAGCGCTTGATGAGCTGAGCCGATTGCTAGTTTCAAAAAGTTTTCCAACCGCTCTTTGGGGGGAGTTTTTAACAAAGACAAAAAATCGGTTGATTTTGGTCCCAACTTTCAAACCCTGTTAAAAATCATAAAATTGTTTTTAGACAAGATCAGCTTTACCACTGTGTAGAGCATCAAAAGTACTTCCAAATCGTAGATTACGTCTAGCTCCTAGATCAACAGGGCTTTCAAAAAAATGCCCGAAAGGAAAAACCGCAAGGACTTTCCGGACAGCCTGATAGTTATGCCTCTACCGGATCTTAAAGAATCTGCTATTTTAGGGATCAAACACCGTAGGGAACTAACTAGAAACGTGTCCGACCAACCACTACGACACACTCCGCTCGTACATCAATGCGTAGTAGACCTTATAATTAGCAAAAGACAGACGCCAGAAAGGAATTCAGCCGGATGTGGGGAAACAAGAAGGTAGCAGCTGCAATTTTCCAATAGAATGCGCAGGCGAGAGGGCAAGCTATGACGGATATAGCGTTTTATTTTCATTAATTATTAGCTGTGCGACATAAAATAGACATTTTGATGGTTTTAAGGTGTGGGTGGACAGGTGGTAATTCTGTTTCCGTAAAAACCGGAGACGTACATTTGCGAAACTAGGTGTTAGGCTGCCAAATCGAGCACGGTATCTTGCCTTAAACGAACTGTGAAGGTAGGTAAGGTAGGTAAAGAGAATTACTTAGATTGTCGACGCCAACTTGGACGCAGCAGTAAACAATTTTGAATTTCGGTGAAGTTTCCACGCTATGGTTTCTTATGGATTTACAGCGCGCTACACGCAACGCGACCGTTCCGCTTTCATATCGCGCAATGAGTTACGCTCTATTCGACGCATTAGTATTCAGCACGCGTTGCGTACCGCGGCTGTCGGACCCTGTGGAGCCAGCGAAGGCCCGCGCGCGGCTACGGCACGGCACTCAAGTATTGAAGAAAATGGCTTCCCTTATCAGCAGGGCTCACTCCTGGAGGCGTACGGGTGCGCTGCATAGCGTCCTGTCACCGGCGTGTAAAGTTATCTAATGTTTACATCATACAGCGCGTTTCTAGGCGCTCTTTGAGCGTTTTGCGCTGCTTTAAAGGGACGCTTAAGGTATCGCCCATAGTTTTCGGACTTCCTCTTGCCCGCGACACGCGACGCGTTACCTCTGCAAAAAGCTGCAGATTGCAATCATTGCAATATCGCGGGCTGCATTGCTCGTTGTGTCCATTGCTAAACCCACAGGAAATCGACGACACCAAAGAAATCCATAGATAGGTCTCTCCGATCCCTCAAAAAGTCGACTGGGACCCGTGGATGGCCAAGAGAATGGACCTCAACGTTTCGATCCGTATCCAACGACCCATACTGGCAATTTTCTCGTTTTGATGTATTCCCCAGCCAGTTTGGTCTATCGTCAATGAAGCGTACGCTCAAAACTGTTTATCCTAGTGTTTTCCTAGGGCCAAAAGCACGCAACTGGCGCGTCAATATGCAAACTCCCGCCCACTTAAGCTTTTTCATCTTCTCCCAAAGTTGACATCACTTTCCACAACATATTCCCATATTCCGCCCGTTTCCACTAGGCGGCTATTCCAAGCCACGGGGAGGCGGGTCTCCCGGCTTGTGGGTGGAGCCTGGTGGGCCCGTTGGCCCCTGGAGGGCTTAAGCCCCAACTGCCCCTGGCCGCTTCACAAGTATCGGGATCCCCGTGTCCGTCCACCCCCGGCGACCGTCCCCTCCCTAATAAATTTTTTCTAAATTTATTCCCCACCCCTACCCCTAAAAATGCTGCAAATCCGAATTCTGCTCGTGGCCTTGATCGTCGCACTGTTGGGTTGCAGCGTCGTGGCACAATCATTGTGAGCTTTTGAAAATTTAGCATCATTTTCAAGGTGCCCTACCGGCTTAACAGAAGTAGTCTAACAATGATTATATACTCCAAAAGGCTCTACCAAACAAGGCTCCCATGTTCTAGAAATTGATGCAGTTTTTTAGCAATTTTTCTAGTATCTATCGACTTTCCTATACCTTACCTGATCCCTTTCTTGGTCTGCTTTGTCGGTGTTCTTTTTTAATAGTCTTCTGCACTCATTCGATCCCTAAAACACAACCCGTTTTGATCCATTGGCTATCGGCGGAAACAATTTCCTGGGCAGTGAGGGACCGAAAGTTCCCGGTTGAACTCTCCGTAGATGGGCCCCCAGCTCGGTCGGTCGGGGCCAAAATGAATGTAATTAGCGAGCTTTGGCCTCAGCTGGAAGGCACCGAAACCCCTTGCAAAAGTCGAAATTGCCCTGAAAATGGGCTCGAGAAATAGTACGATAATGGCAGGGTTCGATTAAAGGGGGCAAGAAGCTCCAGGAATGCTTTTTAAGAGCAATTGATGCGCGTGAGGTATTAACTTACGGTAAATTTTCAGGGTATTGAAGGCCTAGGTTCTCTACGGTTCAAGAGCGGGTGTTCGGTCGCGTAGCCTGTCTTTCGCGGCACCGAAAAAATCCAAAAATAAACGATAGTAAAAATCCATATAATGACTTTTCCAGCCTTTAATTCCCAAAAAACAATCGATCGATGAAATTTTACCTTCTAAGTTCCGTTAATTCTTAAACTACGACTGATTCGAGACTACGTTCCACATCCGGAAGTGCCGAACCCAAATATTCATAGCTTTCACATGTTCTTTTTGCCTACCACTAGGCGCTGACGTTTTTCATTTACCCGTCTCCTGACAACCTGTCAAAAACTCTAAGTTTTTAGTACTTTTTAGCATCTTTTTTAGACCCAGTCCACTTTTGACTTTTTGACATTCCTTGGCATTTCCCATTCCCTGCCCTGGCCGGTCCACGATCCCATTTTGCCGGGGGGACAAATGCGACTACGCGAATGACTAATGGACACCCCCCGTTGCGTTTCGGAACGTCCACAAGATTTCCTTTGTTTCGGATTAGAGGATGCTAATTTTTGAGGGGTTGCGAGGGGCTGGAAATAGTAAAAATTAGATAAAAAATGTGCGATCGTTTTATTGAATTTTGGGTTGCTTTCGGGTTGGTTTCTGCAATTTTCAAGGGATTGAAAACCGTCACGGCATTGATTTTATATACATAATTTATACTATTAAACTAAAAAATTTTATTTATCGCAACTTTTAAAAGTTGTTTGTGTAAATTTTACTCACTTGTGTAACACTCGCTTTATGCATATTCCAATTTATGTCTGGTATTCGCTCGTATTTGAAAAACCACAATGCCGACAGTCAAAATCGCGGCAGACTAGAATGCCGACAGCCATAATCTGGACAGCAAAAGATGCCGACAGCTCAGAATGCCGACAGCCATAATACCGGCAGAAAAAAATGCCGATAGCCAATGCCCGACACGACAAATCGCTGTTTATACGGAATTATTGTTTTCAAACCAGCTTCCAGAAATTGTCGGGATTGCTTGTCGGCATTTTCAGCGGCCGGCTTTGGCTGTCGGGGTTTTGGTGTCGGGTTTTTTTGTATCGGGGTTTTGGCTGTCGGTTTTATGGCTGGAATTCCGATGATGTGCTCTACTTTTTTGATGTTTGCAGTACGAAGCATAATTCACTTTTCGCAATTTTCATTTTATGGTAATTCTCCGTCAAAACCCAACCACATTGATCACTTCACCACATTCCGGTAATGAACTTTCCGCGAGCCCCGCCCCGACACACTTTTTCCTACCTCGCCACAAAAAATTGTAAAATTAGGCGCGACATTGGTCGGACGGCTGGCGCCGAGAAACTGGCGACAAATTGGCCAAATCGGCCGGCTGAAGCGTTGGGGTGTTTCCGGGTTGTTTCCCGGATGGCGTGGTGTTCCGGAGAACGCCGCTTGGGCTATAAAAACGGCTGTTCTCGGATGCTAATGCCCGTAAGGTCGGGGAAAATAGAAAATTCAGCATTTTGTTTTGATAAAGTGTGCATCGTGTAATTTAGAATGCGAAAGACTAGAGCGTCGTAGCCATTAGAAACCAACCATCGCCCAAACACAGTGTATTTTAAGGCGCTAAAAGAGATAATCGTGAGGAAATTTAAATATTACAAGGTTATGAAAGGTGAATAGTCGCATCAAAAATTTCCAGTGCTTATTCTAGTTTTCTTAGTCAACCCTAAACCCGGCTATCTGTTATTCATAGAATCCAAAGGCCGCCGAAGCGGGGGTGGTCAAACTGAAAATTTTATGCTATTAATATCCTTACACATATCAGTGGTTGGAGAATACATAGTACGGACTACAAAATCACGGTTTTCCGAAACTATATACCATAAACGAAACCACATCTTCCGTCGATAACTACAGCGGTTTTCGGTACCCAGGAGCAAAATACGAACATTTAAGAATGGAGAACGAAAATCCGACATGCTGAATGGTTGCACCTTAATCAACCCCCTTTTTCAGTGACGAGGCCGAGGAGTTCATCCGGGAAATGAGGGCGCCCAGCCCGAAATTCATCCGCTTCGGCAGGGCCGGCCAGAAGTTCATCCGGTTCGGGAGGAGCGGGGCAAACACTTGGGTGAGTCTTTCGAGCATTTTTGGGGTTTTCGTGACAGGAATTAACCAATGGAAAGACAGGAAAAATTGGTTACGCTATGAAATCAGGGCAAAAATTTGTGTGCATCAGTATCGGCGTACTATCGCGTACATAGGTGTACTTCGTAGCCATGATACAACAAACCCGTTGACCCAGAAAACTTCATTTGATTTTATCGTAACGTAGCGTTCAGCGGTGCACTTCGTGTGCTTCGAGACTTTGAAGCTAGAGTACCTTCCGCTACCTTGCGCTATAGTATGGCAGCGTACTGGGCCGTAATTAGGTGTACTGGTGTACTACGTATCCTGGTTCTTGCCGTATCGTAGCGTAACGTAGCGTACATAGGTGCACGACGTAACGATACTGCCCTCATAAACCCGAGACCTTTTCCGTAAAGTTTCGTAGTGCTGCGAACTGTAGCGTCGCGAGGTGCATTTCGTAGCTATCCAGCAAAGCGCCTCGCCTCTCTAAATTCTCATTCATATTATCGTACATCGTAGCGTAACGTAGTCAGGTATCCACAGGCGGACTTCATAGCTACCTAATTCCGACGCTCACCCAGACAATCAATCCCCCTCTACGTCATCAAACGCCTCCATAATTTTCTGCACTTTCCGGCGTTTCTTTCTTTTCCGGGTTCAGCCCTTCAATTCCCCTCTCATCTCGATCCTCATCCAAATACCAAAAATTTCCCTCGCCCTCTTCGTCGGGCTCAAATTCCTCGTTTCCACTGCCAGCAGCGCGTAAAGTGGCTTGATGGAGAGGCAAGGAGCGCCATTTTGAGCAAAAAAGGCCCTTTGAGGAAGCCCTTGGCCGGCTTGGTTCTAAAATGCACCCATCTCACGTGAGAAGCCGCAATGAGTCCCTGGAGGACCTGGTGGTGGCTGCCCTTATTCCGCCTCCTTCAATTTCAACTAGAGAAAAATGATCTGGAGGGGGTGGAAGGCACTAGCGATATTTGGCATATCGAAACCACAAGGATGGGATTGGGAATTTTTGATGCGTTGTCTTTAGAGTCTTGGAAAGAGCACTAAGACAAAGAAGCGTTGAAAGGTGCAGAAAATTGCCTGTTTTTTTATTTATTTGTGGATTCAACGGCATCAAAAGGTATCCAAAATTAATTTGTTCTATACTACCATCTCTCTCGCTCTCTGTCCACTCTCTACTCTCTTCTCTCTCTCTCTCTATCTCTCGCTATCCCTCTCCCCCTTACTTTCTCAGTCTCCTCCCTCGCGCCCTCTCTTTGTCTCTATCTTTCGCTCTTTCTGTCGCTGCCGCTCTCTCGCTTGCTCTTTCACTCTTGCCTTCCAGTACCTTTAAAGCAACAATAGCTCATCCTTGGTTTTTTCTGGCTATCCTAGAAAGTTGCAAGCGTCGATCCGCTATCTAAAAATTCCGAAATGCCATCGTCATTATTATCAGCATAGTCATTCAAAACACTGTGACCCGTCTGCCATTTCACCAACCCAAGGCAAGACCTGTTTTCCAACTCAAAATCCAATTATTTTTCTCGTCAACGTTTCGACGACCTACGAAAGTTGATTACTGTAGTCGGAGAGTCAGTTGATTGGATTTTCAGGCTAGAGAAATTGAACGCAGCGTTCGGCTATAATTACTTAATGGCACCAAAGGAATGAAGCGCAAGATTACGAAGCTGTGATGAACTCTAGGGTTCAGAGATCCTATCCTAAAACGCTAGTAAAGAGTCTATTAGGTCGAGAAATGCCGAAGTTTGGACCAAGGTGCCGAAAAATTCCAATTAAACTTTAACTTCGGAGTTTCAAAATTATGCCACTTATGCTTATTACTATACTTAGCTTTTCAATGAATGGTTTGAATCTTTCCTCAGTTTAAGCCCCAGAAGTGCAATTTCGCTTTTTCGCCATGTGTATAATTTTCGATGTGGTCGCTAGAATTGGACCCCACGGCTCGACGCGACCAATTAAAATACTGGAAGGAAGCCGGAAAAAGGTTTCATCTCAGGATTCAAAGACCGGGGCCAATTTTTGAAAGGTAAATAGATGATGACGGGATGGAGTTCAAGTTATGAGATTTTGGAAGGAGCTTGTGGATTGGAACGCTGCGTTCAAGGCTCGACGGAACTCTAGTCTTCCCTGAGCAACCTTGAGTGTCCTGAAAATATGAAAAGGCAAGATTGGATGACGCCCTTTACAAGTATTATTCGAAATTCAATTCTCCGCGACGCATAGTATGCGCGTCACGGCATGCGGTCTTTCTAGTCTCAAGTCGTGTACGCACATTTTCATCGAATCCTAGATGCCAACCTTTCCCTTAAGGTTGTGTAGGTGGTAGCCAACTCTCCTCTACCATCTCTGAAACTCGACCCTCAATCTTGCGCCCGTTTCACAAATAAAATGACGATTTTACGCGGAAGCACGAGGGTCGCCCGCCCTCGCAGCGCTTGACCGGGTCGGATCGGGTTTCCTAAAAACGCCTATCTACGCTTGGGAGACAATGCTAAATTGTGGCAGCGTACTATGGTTCGGGAATTGGAAATTGAGAAGAGAGAGCGTGTGAGAGAGAGAGAACGTGAGAGATAGATAGAGAGAGAGAGAGATAGAGAGAGCAACCTAGTGGCGCACGACTTACACGTTGAGTAGGGCTTTAGAGTAGGTAACGTAGGACTTTAGATCTTCAATTTAGATTTTTTGAAGCGTATGGCTTCCGCAGCGTTAATTTGAACCCACCGGAGCATAAATTTCACTTAATTTTCTGAGCTTCTTGAGACTGAAGGCTAAAAAGCCGCAAAAATAGTTTGCGTTTCGGCCAAAAATCTGGTCTTAGCGGTCTGTCTCTATGTTTTTAACTTGAGCGGGACTCTCACGAGTACAAGTTCCTTTTTAGAGGTTACCCAGTTTTGAATTTACATAACCCGTAGTGAGCCAAAGTCCAGACCTAGCCGAGGAGTGAGCAAAACAAAAAACCCCATCCCGGGCGTGAACAATCGAATGTCAGCGCGTTACGCTTCGTTCTCTCTGACTCTCGCTCTCTCTCTCTCTCTACCTCTCTCTCTCTCTCTCTCTTTCTCTCTCTCTCTCACATCTCCTCCACCCGCCAGGACCCAAAGGGGAAAATCAAATTTCGTGGGCCTGAATAGCGCATACATAGGTGCCCTTTGGAATCGTCGTGATATCACAGCCTTCGGGGATAGGCCAAGGGAAGGAGTTGAGACTTAAAAACCGAGGTAGTTGGTTGGAAGATTTAGATCGTTAGAAATAAAACGTAACTTGAATTACTTCCAAACTTCCGCGATTCAGAATGCCAAAACGCTTTAGAATCTACCCCTCCCTTCGACTAGGTCTCGACTATATCTGACTTAGACAAATATCTGACTTTCCAGCAATTGTCGGTCCATTTAAAGCCCCTTTAATAGCCGCCTCCACCCCCATGTCCGTACCCAATTCGCGTTGAAGGCCGTGCAAATTCCAAACAACCACTCGTCACCGCCAAATAATTCCAGACTGGCGGTGCTCCCAAGCGCTGCCCGCAACTTTTTGGCCCATGCAAATAGCCAAAAGTACCCGAAGGACAGGGCTTATCGGGGCGAGGCTACGCGACATTCCGGTGGGAAGGGCAGCCCAGAATCAGGTCCCGCGACCTCGAAATTATTCATTGCAGCTGGTGTGGGCGTTTTGGTCGAGGGTGCGAATCGGGCAGTGTTTTATGCTGCCCAGAAAAGGGCTGGTTTCAGGTTTTGTGGTGGGTGTTAAATCGAGAATTACGCGAGCTTTTGACATCTTTTTAGAAAAATTCAATACGATAGCACGAATAATCGAGTGTCAATCCCATGACTCATTGCTTGTTGCGATGTGTTTTCAAGTCGCCATCGTAGCTTCCAAGGAGGGGTGGATTCTGCAGCTTTCTAGCAACTTTAAGTAGCTACGCACGTACGCTACGCTACAATACGCTGCAACCTCTTGCAACGTTGTGTACACGTAACTCTCGAGACCTAGTTTCAAGGAGGGGTCGAATTTCGCGTTGCGAGCCCAACGAAATATACCTTGAAACGCTACAGTGCGAGACGATACGCTGCGACCTAAGTTATCTAACGACGTGTTTTGGAGCTACTCGTAGCTGTCGACACCCAGTAGACAGAAGGGTCGATTTTTTGCCTAGTTTCTTTATATAGCTACGGTGCACCAAAAATCATACGTTTTGAACGTCGCGTAACTGTCGATACCCAATTGAAAGCAGGGGTCAATTTTAGCGCTTCGCGGGTTCTTTAAAAAAGCCAAATACGTCTCGATTGATCCCAGAACCTATGACCCTCTTTCCAGGATCACTCAACCCACGAAGAGCTCGACAACCTTGACGGTGGCGTCGAGAAGCGGGCCGGGCAGAAGTTCATCCGATTTGGTTAAACTCTCAACATCAACCCGATCAGCCAGAATTCCATCGCCCCGCAACGAACGATACCGGTCTACGACTAAAAGACAAAACTCCATTTCACCACCAATTCCATCCATAGGTCCGCGGCTATAGTCAGCTCCTAAGAATCCCTGACAAATCTCAAAAATTCAAAAAAACTATTTTCGTGACGCCCCCAATGTGCTCCATTCACAAATCTTAACATATTGGGAAAACCCGAAAAAAACCTAGCCAGCTTATGTGCATAATAAATTGTTGTCGGTCGCTTAAAAACGTAAAAGCATCGTACAAAACCCAAAATACACCTAATAACAAACCATATTTGCTTTTGTCTTCAGGATTGTTTTTTGCAGCCAGAAGGTGACGACATGAATATACAAAATTTTGCTATTCCGGGATTCCAACTGATGCTAGAAGACATGGAGGGGTATTCTTAAAAATGACAAGAATAAGGGTTTCCAAACTTGAGCGCGCATTTATCCCTACTTAAAGCCGCCAGGTAGTTTCGAAATCGGCCACTCCCGGAGACAAGGTATCGACAGATCACCTCAAGGAACGCTTCGAGGAGTGTTGTTTTTGCGACACAACCTGGCCCTATCCAAAATCAAAATATCAAGGCGACATTGAAGCCATCGTTTCTCGCGAATTTTGAGACATTCTGGGTTTTGCAAAGAATGGCAAATATAAGCCCTGTTGGGAGGGGCCTTATATTTCTGGCAAATTACCAGTGGCCGCAGCGGGAGCCCTGGCTCTTTCGATCTTTGTGCGATTTTGGTGTGTGCGACGTCCGGTTTTGGAATCTTATTATTTGCGAGTTTTTCCGGTTTGTAGAACTATCTGACACAGTAAGACAAAATGAGCTTGTTGATCCCTGAACCCTACTTTTCTTGTCATTGAGGCATTTATATATATCTCTATTTAAGGATTGGCGATCAAGCCCAACAAAAATTTCCGTTCCCACGTCCGAATTCTTCTCTATGTTATGCCCGTTCTGACGTGAACCCCGTGATGTGCATAAGTGGTGTCTGTTTGTAAGTGGCGGGGCGGGGGGCAGTGGAGTGGCTGGAGTGGGTGTCATCCACTGACTGACTGCCCCTACAAGAGCACACCTTTTACGGGTCCCTCTCTCTCTGTATTTGGCCATTTGTTTGCCGTTACGACACGTCGACATAGACATCGACAGACAGAGCGCCTGTCTTTATGTCCACTACGCGCATAATACAATACAGGGGGAGAAGCCGCTTGGAATCGGGCCAAGGCTTCGCAACAAAAAAGGCGAAATTTGAGAAGCTGGAGGCGAGAATAAGGATACAATGTTTTTTGTTGTTCTCTCTGTTCTCTCTCTCTCTCTCTCTCTCTCTCTCGCTGACCTTATTGCTTGCAACCACATTGCGCTTTCTCTGTCGCTCTTTCGCTCCTTCTCTCGCTCCCTCACTCTCTGTTGCTCTCTATCTCCTCTCTCCCACTCTCTCCCACTCCGTCTCTCTCTCTCTCTCTTCTCTCTCTTTATATATATTTCTGACTCCCTTGTTGAGAGCAAAGGAGGGAATCAGCGAAAAGAGACACAGAAACAGAGAGATAGAGAGAGAGAGAGAGAGAGAGAGAGAGAGGGAGAGAGAGAAAGTTCTCCAAGCACCATACAACAAAAACTAAATCTCTATTTTGCACAGCTAATCTCCAAATTTCGGGGCTCAATGATCGTCTACAACACCGCTCATTTCGGGCCGGAAATGACCCTGGAATTCTCCAAAACGGCCCGGCCGGCCGAAAACTGGTGCTAATAACCCAATTTAGGCACGGGGCCTCTTGCAACTTGGAGCGATCGTTGAAAAACCTAGCAACTCAAAACAAGACGAGCTTCAGGGGGCTGAAAAAGAGCATGACCGTTGGACGCGATTTTCTCAGGTTACTGTAAGTAACTCTAGTGTTTTTTAGAATCCTGAGATATCTGGAACAGCCGCTTCTCCCATGCCAAACTATCCCGACATTCCATCAGATTCCGGCTGGATCGAACGCTTCTTTGAGACCCATGTCCCTGGGTCCGTTTGATCAGTGTCACCGGCTGATTTGATCCCCGAAAAAACGGAGACGTCATCTGGGCCGTGTATCGCGTGACGGCGTTGAACCGTGTGCCCCGCCCGATCCCATCATTGTTTGTTTATCTATCCGGCGACAGTTAGACATACAGAACTTGTTGTTGAACGGGATGACCGCACCCTAGAAGGGGAGTGCCCTAGTAGACCCTAGAATGAATCGTTGGGTGTCGGATCTTACCCGGTTAACTGAGCAAAGTAAATGAGTGCTCCGATTACGACACTTGTTAAAACAATTTTTTTAAGTTTTCTGGAAGTTGAGTGGCTGATCGAACCCGCTTAAAATGTAGATTTTGGTAGTCCAAAATCTGAATTGCTTAAAACGAGTAAGGAGGGAAGCATAGGGCAGCTAAAAATCATATTATATGGGAACCTCAGGTGGATATGGCGAAATCAGTTTCAGAATCGAATGAAATTCATGCAATCTTTTCTAGAAGAAAACACGAGAATGGCTAAAACCTTATCGCCTGTTGATAATACTGCCATAACTGAATAACAAAAAAAAATTGAAGCTGACTTGCAGAAAGTCACGTGGCGTTCTATCACAGCCCTTGAATTGCCCGATTCCCGTTTCTCAATGTTGCAAGGCACAATCGCTAATCCCGATTGGAATTCCTCCGATACCACGGTTTGCTGGACGATCCGCTGCAAAAAAAAGTCGTGTTAGTCAACCCCCCCCAGCGAGGGGTGCACGAGGGAGAGAGTGAAGAGAGGGAGCGAGAGTGAGAGAGAGTGAGAGAGACAGAGACAGAGTACTGTGGCCAGTGGCCCCGTGCCGTTGGTTGGGACCGGCCCGGGGGTCCCACAGGTGCCCGCCCTGACAAAATGGCTACAAAAGGGTGATGGTGGACATGGGACGGTCCCTATTCTGTGCCATCACCCCCTCGCAAAAGCCTTCTACAACCACTCCCCGGCCAACATGCTCGGCACGGCTGCTGCCGCTTTTCTGGTTTTAGGTGAATTTTTTGGTGGTTTTACATTTTATTAAATTTTTATTTTTATATTTTGCTATATTTTAATTGCTTAAAATCATCAAATATGCATTTTGCCGTTTCTTTAAAAAACTATACAATTGTTTGGACTTTTGTTTCGGGATTTTTTTTTTTTTCTATTTTTTACATGCCTTTAGAACAAAGAATTACAGAATTACCGTTTTAGAATAAAATATGCTCAAAAAAGATTTAGACATATAAAATACGCTTTTAATAGGATTTATTTTCCTAAATTTTCTCCGCTGGCTTGCCTCAAGAAAAAATTTTGCGTTAAATCATTCATATAAATTCAAAGAAAACTAAGCAAAAGCTATACAAAAAAAATTAATTAATGGTTTTTGACCTTCAGCTTTTTCAAATAATAAAATATAAACAAAAAGTGTTAAACGACGACCTGAAAAAACGCCAAAATGAATATGTAGGGGCGCCGAAGCCTAAGCCTTAACAAAGTAAAAAAAACCCATGTATCTAAACCTTTTTAAATTCTCTAAAACATTTTTTAGCCTCCGCTACCTCCGCCTTCCTCCCCTTCAATGATGTCCCCATGGAGGCTTGGAATGAGGCTCAACTCTCCCAAGTCCTGCCCCCAGCCCACCCCGAACTCGTTGCAGCCATGCGCGATGCCGAGAGCAAAACCAGGCATGTCTCGAAGCACGATTCCGGGTGGTAATTCGGGCACGGGGAATATCAATTTGCATCGGTATTTCACCCCTGAGGAAAGGTACTACAGATACGGTCGCATCAAAATCACCACCCTCATCAATGTGACCACACCTACGCCGCCGTGCTGTGCTGATACGATATCGTCGATTGCGTGCCGGAGACTGTATAGCCACAATCCGGCCAGGTTTCAGCAGAGGTATTGTGGATTCTTATGCATTAATAGACGCAAATTTTTGGCCTAAAGGACTCGAAATTAAAATTCTACCGATCCGATCGGGTTTTTTTTAAACGGGGCCTAGCATTATTTTTTTGCGCTGCAAAGTCTCTAAAATCACGACAAACACCGAATTATAATATATCATAGTATACATAAGGTATCCTCGCCAAAACGCCCCCATTTTTGCTCCTCGACTTCATTTTTACCTCTTTTTGGGCCTTTTTTTCCATAATGTTGTCTGCTAACTTACCTCACGTCCTGGTTTTCCTGGTCCTGTGGGTAAGTTTGGCTGCGTTTCTTCACTAATTTCTGCTACGTTTTTTGGATGATGGTTTGGTATCGATACCTCACCGCCAGAAGCGTAGACAAATGGCTCCCTAAGCGTCTCTGTTAGCCCGCTTGCTCTGGGATCTTCCTAAATCAACCCTCCTGCGTTTTGCACCTGATACCTAGTGAATCAAACACAATGCGCGCGAAATCGGGTAGAGAAAATGAATCTCTATAATGGTCTCTGCTAGCTTACCTTTCCGGCATTTTCTTAAAGGATCTCTGCAGTCTGAAAAACGTTTAATTCGCTGCTGATTCACCAAATTTCCGCTACATCCCAAAATTTTCAGATGCGAGTACGACGCCGATTTCTCGCTGATCCAGTGCTGCAACACTTGCGGACTCGAGGGGGCTGATACCCGATATGAGAAATTCTTCGACAAGGTAGGAGAATGAGCTGCTGCTCCAAATAACTGCAATTTCCAGTACCAATCCTCGCAGCAGTGCTACGACAGACACAGCGTCGACTTCTGCATGCGCTTCTTGAACAAGGTATGATCTAGGGATTGGTAGTTACGGTATATCTGGGGGCATTGCTTTTAAAGGACTGGGAAGCGGGCAATATTTCCATTGCGGTAGCTGGGTATCGACAGCTACACTACGCACCAAAAGACTCGTAGTAGCACGTAATTTGCTCCAACGAAACTGGGAGCTAGAAAACCCGCCTAATCATGTCATTTTTGAGCCTAGCTTACAAG